TAAAAGAGTTTTGAAGCTTTGTTACAAATCTGACTTGTACCTTCACGCTTCGCGCGCCTTTCCCCTTTCCTCTGTTTCTCTATTCTTCTTTTCCTCTATCTTTTCTTCCTTTGTTCTTCTCTTTCTCCTTCTTTTCCCTTTTTCCTCTGTTCTTTTGTTCCTTTGTTGCAATTTTCCTATTTTTCTCTGTTCCTTTGTTCATCTGTTTCTCTGTTCTGTTCTTCGCTTCCTGTGTTCCTATGTTCCTCGATTGTACTGTTCTTTTGTTTATCTCTTCTTCTGTGCTCCCTTTATCTCCGTTTCCCTGTGTTCCTTCATCTCATCTTCCGCGTGCCATCTAGTCTACCACTGCAGGTTTTTCCCGCTTCCTGCTTTTAGTAGCCTTGTTCCATAGTTATTTCTTTCCTCTATTCCCATATTTTTCGCGACACTATTCCTTCCTTCAACCATTCTCTCGTTTTTCCCTTTCCTCCGCTCTCCTAACATCCAATTCGCTAATATGATTTGATTGGAAACAATTGCATACCAGTCAAAGTAACAAAGTAATAAAAGAACTTTTTTTCTACTAGTGGTTGGGTGAGGAGCTAGTGGCAGCGTTTACCCACGGATCTTTGCGATCGAAGTTGCTTCTGCCATCTTTCACTTGTGCGCGGCAGATTTGACTGTTTGTCTACTCACACTTTCAGCAATTCCTAACTTCGATTCGTGGTAAACATCGGCTGAGCTGTTTTGCGCACTCACACGTACCCAGAATGGCACACATATTGGTTACATATGGCATGTGAATCAGCATCGTCGGGTTGCAGGTAAATTACAGTTTAAAATCACTCTTACAACGTGATTCAAATTTAACATCACACGCATAATTCAACTTTGTTTTACAAAGTACCATTCAATTTAGGTGGTCGTATAATATTGCAGCTCGTTATTTATGTGTATTTGCTCTATACAGGGGAGTTTCTTTTTACGTTTAGTAGAGGACACCATTTTGTTGTTCAAACGGCTTGTGTTTGTACCTTGCGGGTGCTGTCAGTATTTGCCTGCAGGATTTAAAGTTTGTGGCGCATGTATTGCTCAGTCTAGAATGAATTCAAGTTTTCCAATAGTTAGCAAAGGTAGATTTGAAACTATAATCATACAAATATTTTGAAACATATGAACTAAAGCTCACCCTGGGTAACTGGTAGCTTTATACACTAGTCTTCCCCTGTAAGACTCTGGCGTTATTGGTGAATTCAATTTAAAAAAAACAAACAAACAAACCGAAAACCAGTCTTGATATCATCATCCGAAAAACCATCATCTTGCTTGACCTTGAAGATTATCTTCCACAAGCCACAAAGTTATCTTTTATCAGAATAAACTTTGAATAGGTTTGAATACTGTAGACCCTTCTCTAAATGAGAAAGGAACTTAAAATGTGTTACACTAAAGAGACTTTCTGTATAGCAGCAAGGTAAATAGTCCAAATAGATTCAGCATAGACTGCAGATTTTATGTCATTGCAGCTCTTGATTTTGAAGGAAAGGCAACTTGACATTGTTGATATTCATTTCTCACTTGAAGTGACTTACCCCACTATCACCATAGAAATTTTTTTTTTTGTGAAAGAAGATTTTATATTGTCAGCCAAAAAAGCAATTGGGTAAGGAAGACTATTTATGTATCCCGTATTGTTTTTATATCACAAACATTATTACTACAGGTAACTATTTTTCCTGAAATTAAGGTAAGCCAGACTACTAAATTATTTGCTCTGATGAAGGACTAATGCTCCCAACTTCAGCTTAGAAACTCTTTACATTGGCCAATCAATCAACTAATTTGATAAAACCAAATTATCTTGTTTTACTCCCTCAGGATGCAGCACTACTGTTAGAAACTTACCACTTGTACCAAAATTAATAACCATATGAATGATTCCTATCAGTTTAAATAAGTATACTTTCACCACCTCTTTTTATTTTATATTTCTCCTATAAATATTTTTGTACATTGAGTTCGTGTTCAGGTGATTTACAGTCACAAGATACATATAGCTTCATAAGAATGAATTCCTCAGATTTTGCTGCTCGATGATATTCTAATATAGCATTCAGTGCATTTTTAAACATCATTCTGTCAAAACACTAGACATGAATTAAAACAAAAGAAAATAATACTGTGAGCCACTGGAATATTCAATGTCACTAAGAACTGAGTTTAAAATGAAGCTTTATCAACATCTATAGCCAAGTTTATTGCACAGTATTTGAGGGCAATATACTGTGCATTATGTTATTCTGTTCAACAAAGACATTGCCTCTCTGTGGTATCTGTATCTGCCCTGATCCATTTCATCCCAACCTTGAAGAGTTTGTTATATCAAGTATAACAAGTTTGCCTTTCAAGGTCTGCACCCAAATCTTCCATCTTGTTTCTTTACAGAGGATAATAGCCCTTTGTGATGAAATTAAAATTTATTTTGATAAAATGGAAATTGAATACAAAACCATAACAAAGTTTGATCAACTTGCAAATTCCTGGTTGAGGTAATTTTACACAGTAATAACAGACTGCATGAGTAAATGGTAAGCCACTGTATTACATCAGTCTTAAGATAACTGGTTTGACACTGTTTTATGCTTATATTTATACTAAAAATAAGAACTAGTTACCTTGCTTAGCCCTGGTATGTGAGGCTGACCCAAAAACTTAAGCAACATTCTTGTTACCAGAGAGGCAAGCCTCTTCACTGGATTTAGATCACACACTGAAAAAACAAACAAAAAAACAAACAAAAGAAACTGTTTTTAGTCTAAATATTTCTCATGATTTGAGTAATTAAACTGAATGAAATAGGCAGAATCAAACCATATGTTCTATGTGAATTAAATTCAGGTAACTCTAATTACTTTTCATTGGAAGTGACATGCGTGGTTGTGTAGGGTTAAATTTGTACTTAAATTATCACTCAATAAAAACTTGTGAATACTGCAAGGAATATTTCATTTTTGCGTTGGTAGAGTATAGAGAAAGAGTGTTATTGCTTTGAGTAGTTGTGGATATTAATTACAATCACACAAATAGAGTAAACCAGTAATTAAACAGGCTTGGACTTTGACTATGTCAAGCATTATTGATTTGACTGATGAGTCTTGCTTTTGAGTAACAGATCTCTAATAAGTGTTCGGTTACACCAGGTTTGCCATCAAGAAATACCATTAATGTATATTTGCAGTAAATTAAAGTTATTGTCCATGAGATGATGTTGGTAAATGCTTAGTGACTTGCAGGGGTAGAGAGTGGGAGAGGAATTTTGTTGTGTACTTGATAAATACAGTGTTATCTCTCAGGTTAGAATTTGTATTATTCCTTTGTGGAGAGAGGCCATGTGGGAGCCAAGTGTTTGGCCAAAAAAAAACATAAAGAAGGCTTTAATGTAGAACAAACCATTTTGTGGACCATGTCCTCCAGTATATCAGGCTGAAAACTTCTGACTTGAAGTCTCATTACCCGTGTGTCTGCTTGTTTTATAACGATCTTTTAATGTGGAATGTTTATACCATGCTCAATTAAGTTTGTCTCTTTCAAGGGTTTGATTAAATTCCTGCCAATACTCCTTCCCCTTCTTTTCTATGAGAAAAAATCACAGGAGCATCAGTTTCTCTAGTGTTGGTAAAAATTAGCATATAGGCAAGCTAAATTTTTCTCAATGAATGGTGGTTATTCAGAGTGGAAAGCATTTAGTGAATGCACAGTTACATGCGGGGGAGGTGTTTACTAAAGGACAAGAATAAACCGACCCTGCGCCAGATAACAGAGTTCAGAACTGTGGGAGACTGGGCCCGGCAATGGAGTCTGAGCAGTTTAATGCTGAACCGTGTCCCTCAAAGGCCGCCGAGGATCAAGAGTAAATTAGCAAATTGGGCTGATATTAATCGTTTTGTCATGTGGGTGAGACAAAGATAAAGAATCTAGGTTTCTCATTAGGAATCTAACCACAAACATTCAGATTCTGCTCTACCTCTTGGTAGAAGCTTATAACCCAAAGCTCCAAAGTTGCCATCTTTCTTGGGGCGGTTTTTCGCCATACTCCTCTGCCGTATTGGTTCGATAATTTTGTTTTGTAGCTACTCTTTGAAGTTGACTTACTTTGATAAAAATCTTTTATTGCTTAAAAGTAATTTTCACTTGCGCATTTGGTTGGCCATGTGCTGATTGGTCCTGCAAACTCGCGCTCCCCTCAGCGTTTATCCGCGCTTCAGGCAGCATGCTTGACTCTACGTTGAGGTTTCAATGGCTATTTTTTATATATACCTTTGTTCTGATCGGCCGTTGTGGTTTGGTTTTGGTTTTGCGGCATTCAATATTAGGAATGCGTCTCCTTTTCTAACATAGGAAAACAAATGACGAAGATGACCAGAAAAACAAAGCCGACAGAAAGGAAGTGAATATGCAGAAGAGAGTGAAAAACTACAAGATGACGAGAAAAACGAAGCCGGGAAGATGTAGAAAAAAGTGTAAAACCAAAAGAAGAAACGCAACTAAATTTTTATTAACCCTATGTAAGTTCTCTGTTTCATTTCTACGCGGATTTTAGACGTGTTTGGATTTTATCTCCTTTTGAACGGCTTTTTACTTGGGCCACGTATGCTACTCTTTCGTTAAGTATTCAAAATCGTTCTGAAATTTTCATCATCTTAACTTATGAAAGATTTGTCACAACTGATGGAAGTAGATTAATTTGTTGGCCAGTCTGGAGAAGACAAGAAAATGTCTCACAATGTCACGTGTGTTTTCCTGCGCTTTTGGCAGTTTGCATGTCTTTGCTTTGAGTGGCTGATAATAATGTTGCCCTTTGTTATGATTGGCCGTTGTGATTACTCTGGTTTTGCATTTGAAAAGGAGTTGGCTGAATGTAGACATGTCAAGTCAGCGGCAATTACACCCAGTTTACACTTACTCCACCTATTTGTGTTAGTTCTCACTGTTATCAGAACTGTCATATCCGCATGCACTGAATGATATAAAAACTTTCGGAAGGTTAATAAATAATGGTAATTGAACTGAGTGGCGTGCAATTTGGGCTGAAATCATACGCATGATTTCAAAATGGAAGCGCGCAGCGCGAGTTCGATTTGAAATCACAAGTATGATTTCAGACGAAAATTGCAGGACACGAGGTTCAATTACCACTTTATTACATCCATTTTGAAATCGCCCAAATACAGGACTTGGTCAAATATTTTATTGATGCAGTACTGAGCCGGTTTGAAATTAAATTCATTCCTTTTCTGGGGGAAAAATTAGAGTTTTGGAAACAAAATTTGCAACATGATAGTCTTTGTCTTCCATTTTCCTGCAATTTGATGGGTTACTTTAAACAAGCCTTGAAATCTGATTGATTGTTTTGTTTTTTTAGTGTAGCCTCCTTATTGGCTGGGAAAAAGATGCGATTTAAAGCAAAAATTATGCGATTCGTGAATAAATCGCAGCAATTAGTGCCAATCAGATTACAGGGACCACCAGTGATTTCAAAATGAGTGTAATAAAAGATTACAACAGCACTCAGTTAATATTAGAGAGGTATTTATTAAATTATTTATAAATAATGGGTTGTTATAGACCACGCTAATTAAAAGCAGATATACTCAGTATACTTTTTTAAACTGATTGTGTCTTCAGGAGTATAGCTTATTTTCTATTTCATGTTTATTTGAATAAAAACGATAACAAATTTTGTCAGCATTCACCAAATAGTTATCTAACATGACAGTGCTATATACATATTTACAAAATAATTTTTCTAGCAAAGTCCTGAAAATTGAAATTCTTGTTCAGTTAGACTTGGTTGTTTGATCAATTTGCGTACAAAAGTTTTCAAAGACGATGCATGATAAAGAATTCAAAATAGCAAACAACGCCCGGCTTTGAAATTTTTAAGAATTAGAGAGAGTTGAACTTGGGTCGCCTGCATTGAAGGTGATCTGTAAAAAGAAAAGAGAATCAGAGTCAATTCTTTAATTTTAAGTCAAACGAAAATAAAAATAGTACCACAGTCAACGCAATGCTGAATTATTGACGGGTTTATGGCGATTTGATTTTTAGCAACTTACCAGTTTGAGGAATGGAGTGTTGATTGATTTGCTGGTAAGCGAAACCTACTTGAGTTCCACTGGGAACAGTGCTCGCCAAAATAGGAGGTAGTGGGCGTTGGTAAGAATATGGACTCCCTGTACAATTCAAGAAAGATTTTTGTTTTTTAAAAACTTTGACGTGTCACAGATTAATACCACTTACTAAACAAGCTTGACTTTCTCTGGAGGGGAAGGAAGGGATGGGCACAGTGGCATTTACCCAACTGCATGCACGTTCATCATGACGTCAGTTTTATTTGCTTAAGGATGAATGAAAAATGTATCAATACACGTTTATAGGAGCCTATGAACACCTGACATTCCTGAAGAGTCACTGTAGCTTGAAATTTTGATTTATGATTCCGAAGGAGAGAACTTAAACAAAAAGACACATTGGTATTTTTAAATTGCTGACATTTCAACTCAACACAGTCTTCGGTTAAAGGAGAAATTAAACAATTGAAATACAAAGTTTAAATTGCATCATTTTTTATTTAACTGGTAAAGCAAATTGTAAACTCAATCGCCTTACTTTTTTCCTCTTCATTCAATGCCAATGCATAATTAATGACGTTTTCCTATTAAGATTTCATAGTTAATTTAATTGTGAAATCAGTGAGTTCCTCATCGAACTGAAATGAGGTGAGTACTTTGCGAGGAACTTAAGCTGGAGGGTACATTGACAAATTTTTAGTGTCCAACTTTTTTGTCATTCATCATCAGACTACTCAACATCCGCATAGATGTAGACTGTTAAAGAATCGTATTTCGCAAGTTTCCTTCTTCATACCTTTCGCTGCTGCAGTGGAGGGTTTTGAATTTGATTTAACATTCCTCATAGCTTCAAGATCTTTTGCCAGTACTGGAAGGTTTTCAATTTTGAGACATCCAGCGTTGTTTGATAGAGTGTCAAACCATGATGGTTGAAGGTCAAAGTAACCTTTGCCTAGGTTTTAAAAGAAAAGATAAATGAAAATCAAAGTGCATGGGAGGACACGTTATCAATTGTAAGTATTTCGAATTGTTTTTTCACTCATCAGACTACTCTGCTCTCGCACAGATGTGGATTGTTAAATGTGTGCAATAGTATTTTATAAGTTTCCTTCTTCATATACCTTTAGCTGGCTCATTGGAGGGCTTTGAATGTAATTTGACATTCTTCGTAACTTCAAGATCTTTTCCTGTAACTGGGAAGTTTTCAACTTCTCGACATTCAGCGTTGTTTGATAGAGTGTCAAACCATGATGGTTGAGGATCAAAGTAACCATTGCCTTGTTAAAAACAAATAAAAACAGAAACAGAACCAATAAAATCAAAATGCATAAAAGAACACTTTTTCAAACGTTTTTAAAAGCTTATGTAAAGACTAAAGACAAAAGTCCCTTTTCTCGTCTTACGGATGGAAAATGATATTTTCAAGCCGCGTCTTTTTGGGAAATGGGAACGTACTTTTAAGTCACGCTCGTAAATATTAAACATTTTTTTTGTCTTCCTTGGCCTGTGAAAGGTGTTTCAGACCTTATTTAAAAAAAAGTATAGTGGTCAGCGGCGAAATGGCGGTCAGTCGTAATTTTCTCGGCTCCGCCATAGTCACTTATCTATATCTGTTCTGTTGTTTAAGTCGCTCTTTAATTTATCTAAATACGCTCATTTTCTGTCCATCTTATGCCCTTGATGATTCTGGAGTTACAAAGACCACTAATGAAGTGGATTTATACCGTGCAAGTTGCTCGTCGTCGATGCGTTTGTTCCGCCATCTTGGATTTTCATCTTCAACAAGATCGCATCGCTACTTCACTGCTCGGATATCTCATACTCGAACTCCGTTTCCTCCTTTAACCTAACGCGTCTTCGCTTAACAACGAGTGGCGACATCAGCCCGAACCCTGGTCCACTAATTACGTCTTTTACAACAAATCGTCGAGCAGTTAAACATCGAAGCCATCATCATAGCCACCGCTCCAACGTTGTGCAGGTAAACCGCGTATCTGATCTCCATTTGAGTACATCGAACACTCAGCTGACCATGTGCACGTTAAATGCTCGCTCTATTTCAAACAAATCTGCACTGTTTGTTGATTATGTCAGCGAATGCAAAGCCGACCTAGTTGCAATAACTGAAACTTGGTTATCAGACAACGACTCCGCTGTGTGCTACGAGATAACTCCTGCTGGCTATAAACTGTTACACTGCCCTAGGGGTGATCGTAGAGGTGGAGGTACGGCCCTCTTGTTCAGAGATAACATCAATGTTTCCAAGCTCGAAACTGTTTCAAGGATTTCCTTTGAATCTTCTGAATACCTTGTCTGCACTGGCTCCCTACGCTTTCGATTGGCAATCATCTATCGACCGCCGTACTCTGTTAATCATCCTGTGACTGTGAACAGTTTTATTGACGAATTTTCTGAGTACCTTGAATCTGTTATCCTATCTAACGATGTCCTGTGTTTAACTGGCGATTTTAACATCCATGTTGATGATCACAATGATTCAGCTGCTTGTCGCTTTTTGGATTTATTGGAGTCAATGTCTTTAACTCAACATGTGACAGAACCAACGCATGAACTTGGTCATACACTAGATCTGGTAATTACTCGAAAGTCAGACAACCTTATTAGCGGTCGACCAGCGCCTGACATTCTATTTTCGGATCATCTAGCGTTACTTTTCAAATTGAAAACACCTCGACCACCTCTCAAAGTTGGGCGTGTCTCATTTAGGAAGTTGCGATCAATTGATAAGTCTGCTTTTGCGGATGAAATCTGTAACAGCGAGCTTCTTCAAACGGATACTGAAGATCCTGACGAGCTGGCCGCCTTATTCAACAACACATTGCGTTCCCTGCTGGATCGGCACGCTCCTGTTAAGCAAAAGAATGTTACTATTAGATCTCGTGTTCCATGGATGAATGATGAAATTATATTGGCTAAACGTCAACGGAGGAAAGCTGAAAGGAAATGGAGGGCTTCTAAAGCACACATCGATTTACTATCCTATCGCGCAATGAGAAATCGAGTGACGTTTTTGAGTAACGAGGCTCGTTGTGCATACTATACAAACTTCATAACTGAGAACAGCACGGACCAGAGAAGGTTATTTAGAGCAAGTAAGTCCCTGCTGAATTTATCAAATGGTCCTGGCCTCCCACTGTCGACTAATGATTATCAGTTGGCTAATGATTTTGGAAAATTCTTTGCTAAAAAAAATTGCTGATATCAAGTCTGTTATTGCAAACCAGAGCCGCCTTCCTGTCACCATCGACGCTGCCAGTACTGTGACTGCTTCCTGTTTTTCAGAATTTACTCTCCTGTCCGAATCAGAGGTTTTGATTTAATCAAAGCTTCATCAAAGAAATCTTGTCTTCTTGATCCTATTCCAACCAAACTTCTTACGGACTTCGCCGATGTGCTACTACCTCCGATCACGAAAATAATAAATCTTTCGCTTGATTCTGGTTATTTTCCACGCACCTGGAAAAGTGCTCTAGTAAGGCCGCTGTTGAAGAAGGATGGATTACCTCTTGTTTTTAAGAACTACAGACCCGTGAGTAATTTGGCATTTATCTCAAAGCTGGTTGAGACTGTTGTTGCCAAGCAGCTACAGCATTATCTGAATGGCAACAATCTGTTCCCAGTGTTTCAATCCGCCTATCGACAGAACCACAGCACAGAAACTGCACTCCTTAAGGTTATGAATGATATTCTCCTTAACATGAACAGTCAACGTGTTACTCTGCTTATTCTGCTCGATTTAAGTGCTGCCTTCGACACAGTTGATCACGACACCATGCTACGTCGACTTGAGTCATCATTTGGTATACATGGGAAAGCCCTCTCCTGGTTTACGTCCTATTTGTCTGGTAGAACTCAACGGATAATGATTAACGATTCGCTGTCGGAACCTTTTAAATTAGAATGCGGTGTGCCTCAAGGTTCCTGTCTGGGTCCGTTATTGTTTTCGTTGTATACGAGCAAGCTTTTGAGATCATTGAATATCATTTGCCCACGATTCATTGTTACGCTGACGACTCTCAAGTTTACATCTCATTCAGTCCCAACGACAGAGCTGAGCAACTTGCTGTAGTGAGGAGTATGGAGGACTGCATCAGAGACATTCGTCTTTGGATGTTGAATAATGATCTTAAATTAAATGACGACAAGACTGAATTCCTTATCATTGGCACATCACAACAGCTGGGAAAGCTCGACAATATCAGTATACGTGTGGGCGACTCAGACATACATCCCGTGCCAATTGCGAGAAATCTTGGTTCCTGGTTTGATTCAAGGCTCTCCATGGCAACACACATCACGAAAATTTGTGCCTCTTCATTTTACTACATTTATAATATTCGTCGGATCAGAAAGTACCTTTCACAGCAGTCAACGGAAACTCTTGTCCATGCATTTATAACGAGCCGCCTGGACTATTGCAATGGCCTATTATATGGACTACCGGACTGCTTGTTGAATAAGCTGCAACGAGTACAGAATGCTTGTGCCAGATTGATTCTTAAAGAACAGAGATTTTGTCATATTACGCCCTTAATTTTTAAGTTACACTGGTTACCAATTAGATATAGAATTGAGTTTAAAATATTGTTAATTACTTTTAAGATTCTTAATTTTTTAGCCCCTTCTTATCTATCCTCTCTTATTTCCCTTAGACCCCCCTCCAAATATAATTTAAGAAATTCCAGTGATAAGCTTTTACTTAGCCATCCATCATTTAAATCGAAAGCTACACTGGGGGACCGTTCTTTTACCTGTGCTGCTCCGAAACTATGGAACGAACTACCGCTGGATATTAGGAGCGCAAGAACAGTAAATATTTTTAAAGCTAAACTGAAGACTCACCTTTTTCGTAGTGCATTTCTATAGCTTTTTTTTTTTTTTTTTTTTTTTTTTTTTTTTTTTTTTTTTTATCTCGTTTCTTAAAATTATTGTAAGTCTATTTTAATGATAATTTTTAATCTTGTAATGCGCATTTGAACATTTTATGGAATTTGCGCACTATAAATTTTTAATATTATTATTATTATTATTATTATTATTTCTCTCTCCATGTATGTTTCCTCATGTATCCCGGAAGCGTTAAACCGGGTCCTAAAGACGGGGCAGTCGTATAAAACGCGTGGTCATCACTCGGTTGATACATCCCTTCCCATCCCGCTTTCCCTACTCACCATTAAATGTTTGTGGCTCGCTCTTGAATTTTGTTTCCTTCTTCAGTAAACTGAAATTTAGGCCATTCTCGAGTTCTTCGATGTTCTTTCTTGTCTCCTGTAGTTTTTCATCCATTATTGCCATTTGCTTGGCAAAATCCAACTGATTTCTTGGCCCGTTTTGTTGTAGCAGGGACAGTTTTTCTTTGAGATCAACAATTTCTTTGTCTCTCTCAATAAGAGTTTCCTTAAGAAGGGCATTCTCTTTCTCTTTAGCTGTCAAAATATAACTAAATTTTAGGAATACTTGAAACGAAAGTCGGATCAAATTCAATTTATGAATGATAACACAAATCTGGAAAAAATAACAAAAACGATATTATTAATGACAGAAGGAGAATCGAGGCGGGATGGGGGGGAAAGGGAGGAAGAGAGAGGATTTCCCGCGCGCAGTTCGCGCATGCGTCATTACATAAACCAACCGTTAATCTCTGTTTCAAGGCAGGTGATCTTCTGTTCTAGTTGTTCCTTTTCTCTCGCAGACTGGAAGAAAATATGTCAAAACAATTATTTTGGAATTACCGAAATTAAAAGTAAACAAGAAGATTTGGGATGCAGGACATTATTAACTTCCGGCCGAAAGATGTTGGAATGCTAATGAGTGGCGTCATAATCTAAGAATTTTAGCTCCTCGCGCTTTTCAATCTCTTCATGAAGATATTTTTTCAAACTCATTTGCCTGAAAACCTTTGATGCAAAAAATTTCCATTTGCGTTCAATTATTCTCAAATGTTTGACGGACTCAAAACTGAGCTAATTTTGGAGAAAACCGATTTTCAATTCAATTTGAATTAATTTTGACTTATTTCTACGGCAAGTGTATTTAATGAAGTCCATTCGCGCGTTCGCGAAAAACCAAAAGTTTTTTTTCGTGCTTCTCCCATTACATAAAACTGTTGTGCAAAATTGTGATTTTAGGGAAGAAAAAGCTCAACTAACGGGGAACGCCCACCTCATTAGCCATGATCCGCGCTCCATGTGAGGCCTCCAGAGGCTCGTGATAATTCTCAGCGGAACGATTAGTAATATTGATTCCTTCATCAAATATTTTCGCGGCACAGGATTTCTTCACGGACTCCTTGTGGCCTAAAGTGGTTTTGTTCATTTTGCAATTCTTATTTTCATTCGACTCATTCGATGAACATGTAAAATCCATTCTCTTTCTCTTTGCTTCAGCAAGAACGAAGCTTTAGATGCGAAACAAAGTTTCGATTTGTTTATGACCAGTTGCTTGGTAACATGTTTGTGCCGTCACTTCTTGACATCACGCCGGAGTTTAAGCGTTAAGCTTGGGCACTAGATTATTGGTTGAAGCGTCAAAGCCAGAGTTAGAAATTAAAACCCTTTCAGAATGTTGAATCGCATAAAAAAAATTTATGGTTCGCTGGACGTTTTTCGCGATTTAAAAGGGCTTTCCTTGGATACAGTTCATGGATCTGACAAATGATTCATCGGTTCTAATAATCTCTCGCTGCTTCCCGTGGCCAAGATTGTACATGTTAACCTTTATGTAGTGTGCGAATTTAGAGACTGTGGTGTACTCTATTTCGCCATGTTTTTATCAAAATTTTTAAGTTAGAAGAGTTTTGAAGCTTTGTTACAAATCTGACTTGTACCCTCACGCTTCGCCTTTCCCCCTTTCCTCTGTTTTTCCGTTCCTCTGTTCTTCTCTTTCTCTTTTTTTTACCTTTTTCCTCTGCTCTTTTGTTCCTTTGTTCCAATGTTCCTAATTTTCTATGTTCCTCTGTTCCTCTATTCTTCTGTTCTTCTGTTCATGTGTTCCTCGATTGCACTGTTCTTTTGTTCATCTTTTCTTCTGTGCTCCCTTTGTATCCGTTTCCTTGTGTTCCTGCATCTCATCTTCCGTGTGCCCTCTAGTCTACCACAGCACGTTTTTCCCGCTTCCTGCTTTTAGTTGTCTCGTTCCATAGTTATTTCTTTCCTCTATTCCCATATTTTGCGCGACACTATTCCTTCTTTCGACCATTCTCTCGTTTTTCCCTTTCCTCCGCTCTCCTAACATCCAATTCGCTAATATAATTTAATTGGAAACAATTGCATACCAGTCAAAGTAACAAAGTAATAACTCATTCAAAATAATTTCTTTCTTAGATTCTCGGTAGCTTCTCACCCAACCATCGAAAAGGTTTTTAGTGGGCAGCGTTTACCCACGGATCTTTGCGATCGTAGTTTCTATTGCCATCTTTCACGTGTGCGCGGCAGATTTGACTGTTTGTTTATTTACACTTTTACCAAGTCCTACTTTGATTCGTGGTAAACATCGGCTGAGCTGTTTTGCTCACTCACAAGTAGCCAGAATGGCATACATATTAGATACATATGGCTCGTAAATCAGCATCGTCAGGTTGCAGGTAAATTACAGTTTAAAATCACTCTTACAACGTGATTCAAGTTTATCATCACGCGCATAATTCAACTTTATTTTATCCAGTATCATACAATTAGGTGGTTGTATGATATTGAAACTCGTTATTTATGTGTATTTGCTTTAAAAAGGGAAGTTTTTTCTATGTTTAGTGGAGGAAATCATTTTGTTGTCCAAACGGCTTGTGTTTGAATATTGCGAGTGGAGTCTTTAATAATCTGCCTGCGGGGTTTAAAGTTTGGCGCATGTATTGCCCAGTCTAGTATGAAATCTAATTTTCTGGTAATAAGCATAGGAAGATTTGAAACTATAATCATATGAATATAGTGGAACGTATGAACTAAAGCTCACCCTTTGTAACTGGCAACTTTAGACACCAGTCTTCTTCTGTAATGCTCTGGCATTATTGGTGAATTCAATCTTCAAAAAAAATCGAAAACTAACTGAAAAATCATCCTCTTGCTTGACCTTGGAGATTATCTTCACAAGCCACAAAGTCATCTTTTATCAGAGTGGACTTTGAATAGGTTCAAATACTGTAGATCCTTCTCCAAATGGTAAAGGAATATTAAAATGTGTCACAGACTGTTACACAAAATAATTCTGTACAGTAGCAAGGTACGTAGTCCAGATAGATTCAGTGTATGCTGCAAATTTTATTGTGGTGCAACTCTTGATATTGAAGGAAAGACAACTTGACAACTTAGGTGTTACCCCATTGTCACCATGGAATTTTTTTTTAGAGAAAGAAGTAATTCATTTTCTCGGCAGAAAAAACAATTTGGTCAGAGAGACTACCTGGATAACCACACAAAGTATGTTTTTTGGTTCAGGTTACTAACCTGACAAAATAAACAAACAAATCTGGGAGGAGCTCATCTGCAAGAATATCTGGAAAACCTGCAGCACATTTGCAGAAATTAATACTATTCATTGAAGATACATGTATACACTCGATTGCAAAAACGTTGACACCTTGAAAGCATAAACCGTGAACGATGAGACCCGACGGATTTGTGGGTAGTGTTTAAACAATAACCTCATTTCCATCATGATAATCAATAATTTACTATTCTTATTCTTTGCAATAAAAAATACATTGCTGGAAAAAAAAGTATGCCCAAAGCATACTCGGACGATTTACGTTTACAGTTACAGTTTATGCTTTCAAGGTGTCAACGTTTTTGCAATCGAGTGTATCATAAAAACATATAGGAATAGAACTTGATCATTGCTTTTACAAGTTTGGTGGCTCTGAGTTCAAAGTACTGATAGATTTCCTCAGCACCCAACAGTGATAGTAAAAGCCCTACCCTTTTGCAGTCCATCAACTCCTGATTGGTACTGTGCAGTTTATTTGCTAATGCATGTGAATATTAAGGCAAGTTATTTAAGTTATTAAACTTTGTCAATTTTGCTTTTACTGAGAGCTTCTGCTTGCTTACCATTAAACCAAATCTTTAAAATAAGTAATTAGTTGGCTTTTACATTATTTTAGCTTTACAGTGTCGTATACTTTTATTGTTTTATACTGTTGAAAGATTTTCCTAAAGGACCCTTGAAAGTTTACTGTATTCCTCAAGTTAAAATGGAAATATTAAAATTGTTTTGAATAAGCATATCATTCCAAAAATCGACAAAGAGATTTGGAAGTGAATAGTGGAGGTACTGAACATTGAGGTTTGATCAGGAATATACAACTTGTTGTTCAATATTAATGCACCAGTACTTTGCGCAGTTCATTGTGTTACATATATTTATGAATATGAGGATTTTTAGATAAGCACCACCCTCTAAGAAACTTTGAACATCACCCCTGCAGAAGCTTTTCACATAACTCACAAAAAAATTATGAAATGTCCTGATGCATAATTGAGCATATTTGTTATTAATGAAATTTTCTTTTTACCTTTCCCTCTTGGGTTTAAAATAAAAGCAATGACAGTGGATGAAGGAAAAGAAATTTGAGGGAAAGAAATATAAAGAGAGTATTAATTAAGATTTCCAAGGACTCCAACATGAAAAACATAATCAGTGCTCATCTGAGTGACATATTGACCCTAACAGTTTTGCTAGAATAATGTATTTCTCTCAGAATTGATGGCTGTCGGATAGAGTGTTTGTAGCTAAAAGAGGTTAACAATTTGATTACCTGTTAGACTGAATGGTGGTATTGATTTTACAGGTCATTAAACTGACAAATACCTTGTGTGACTGAGTTGCTGACAACTTTCGCCAACTGACTGACTCATCAGCTACTTGGCTAATTGACCAACCATGAGGGGAAACAAGTGGCCTCAACTGTAAGTATCTCCTCATGCAGAGATAATCTCTTGCGGTTGTTGATGGTGCGATAATATGTCAAGATAAGTGCTACACATCTGTAATCTTTTTCCCCGCTCTAACCTGTATTACAATATTCTATAAACTTTGATAAAATGTTTTTATCCTCGGCTTTATCTTGTGGATATATTTCTCTTTATAATCTACAATGTGACACAAAGTAACCGGCTGAGGAATAAAGGCACTATTGATTGCGTGTGAAACAAAAGCATTAGCTGATGACATTTTGATATCAGGCATTAATTCATTTATCTTCTTATATTTATTCGCCCTCATCTGGCATACTGTGATGTTGTTACATTGTAATGAACTGTCCCACCTCTGCTTAGCAATTTGTATTTTAAAAGTTAAACTTGTGTGCATTAAGATCAAATTTCAAGCTTTAAACCTTGAATTTAGTGAGTGTGCAACTTTTGTACACCAGTAAGGCATTGCAAAGACTTAAAAGAAGAATATGGGCTTTACTGAAAAGTAAATGACACAATTTTCTTATTTCAAATGTTGGATTAGACTGGTTATACAATTTGAAATAGTACATTTTTGAAATGCTTACATAGGGCCAGTGTCCCAAACCATCTTTGATTTGGCAAAAGTCCTTCTCTTAACATTTTTGTGGCTACTGCCTCCAATGGATTTGAAGCCTCATATGTCATTGAAATGTAAAAGTGATTGAGTGAGTGTAACAGTAGAATGCTGAGCTGCCCAATTTTGACCCAGTGTTACTTATTGTTTGTTTTGCAGTATCTTCATGGTTCAACATTTGTCCTAGAGGTTATAAGGCACATGATAAACTAATTGAAAGAAAGAAGAATGTGTTGTGAAACAAATTATTTTGTGCATAACAAAGCCCAAGATTTAATTTAAACTGGTGGATTGACAAGATGTTTTGATCATTGAGTGATTAAATCACTGACTGGCTGACTGACTAACTTACTGATGGCTGACTGACTAACCTACTGATTGGCTGACTGGCTAGCAGAGTGATGTGCTGAAATTCACCCTAACTAAATAACAGCTTAACCCTTTAACTCCTAAGATATGATTGTCAATTTTCCCTTTTAACCACTACACATCTCCTTGTAAATTAGTTGGAAGAATTGGGTGTTGGATCAAGATATAAACCTCTACCTGATAAGTGTTAGTATTGTCATTACCTGCTTGCTGGATAATGTATGGATATTATAGGGAGAAGTTACTTGTTAGTCACTTCTGGGAGTTAAAGGGTTAAGAAATCCTTTACAGGGGCCAGTTTACTTTATCAACTCATTTGATAAGACCAAATTATCCTGTAATGTGCAGACAGACACAGATAGCCCAATTTGTCCACCAAATACTAATTCACTGACTGGGTGACTGATTGTAGACTAATTCTCTTACTGACTGTTTGACAGGCTGACTCAGTGAGTGACTGACCAAAATACTAAGTG